TTATTTGAGTTTTCTTTTAATAAGCAAGTCAATTTATCATTTTCTGCCATTAACAAAACATCTTTGAAAGAAAAGATGGGTCATTTTTCTTGAATTTTTAATTCTGGAATTCCAACATTTTTAGCACTGGATTATCTTCATTTACCCCTCACTAAATTGCAGCAGCAACTTGGGAGGCTGGTACTTCTCTCTCTCTCCAGCTGGACACTCGAAGCTTCTTTCTCTTGTTTCCATCTATAAAGGAAAGTCCTAACAAATGGGCCACAATCCCCACCCTGCATTGGTTTTGCTATTTTCAAGGTACAAGAGCAGATGTGGCCCTAAAAGTAGTAAGCTTAGTTCAGCCCTGCTAAGCCAACCATTGTAGTTTGTAAAACATGATTTAAACCCAACCAGTTTCAGCTTCTCTGGGAAACTGTGCTCACATAAATTATGGCTTAGCATGTTGTATTAAGCAGCATTGATAAGATGCTTTTGAGAGTCAATAATGGATACAAATGTAAGTATCTTTTTGAAACCACAGGATACATATATTTTATTTTTCTTTTGCATACCTTATTTTAACTGCATGGCTGTGTATCTTATTAGAATATCCCATAACACATCACTTTACACATTTTTAATTAGTAACAGATGCTATTTGAACAAGAGAGAAAAGTTGAAGAAGAAGAGCTCCAAGTTCCAAGTTTCTCCAGGAGCACTGAAAATAAGTTGAAAGCCACGAAAAGTACTGCAGCAAGGCCAGGCTGTTAAACATGCTAAAAAAATCTCTATGCTTCCTCTGCTTAAGGATCCAGTCCCAAAGTCACTTAACTCAGTGGGATTTACTTCTGAGCTACATGCATTAAAGAAATTTAGACACGGTTCAATTATTAGATCTTTTTACATGCAAACTCTAAAGGTTATCCTGTGGCAAGTAAACAATTGATTGGCTCTGCATTGCATTAGATTAATTCAGCTACTGCATTCATGGGCAACAACTCTATCAGTCAAAGAGAAAAAACAAGTAGAGTTCTGTCTATCAGTAGCTACTGCATAAAGACTGATCTGGAGGAAGACTCAGTATTTACTACATATTATATTATTTAAAAACATGGCAATTGGCAAATACGAGGTAGCAAAGAATATAAGGGGCACACTCTTTCCCACAAGGACAGGCTGAAGGAGCTTCTGTAGCTTGAAGTGATGTGATAACTATCTTGAGACATTTGAAGGGCTGACACAACGAAGATAAGCAACCTGATGTTTTGTAGCTCTTAAGAGTAGGACCCAAAGTAAATCCTTCATGTCAACAAATGAAGGGGAAAAAAGTATTTGGATGAAATTGCAACAAGAATCATCAGCCATTTAACAGTGGAACATCAGACTTGTGAGGTAGGGAACTTTTTCTTAGAAGATTTTTAAGGAAAGGGTTAAGGCTACAGTGGCAGAATTCCTACTACTTCAAAGGATGGGTTTACACTACTATTGAGGGCCAGAGGGGCTCTATGATTCTGTCCTAACTAAGGGCCAGAGGGGCTTGAGGGCTCTATGATTCTGTCCTAACTAAGTCTGATCTTGATGTTACTGCTAGGAGAATTATCAGTATCTGGACTCAAGAACTCCAAATAGCCACTAGATGAAGCAAAGAGATGTAGAAATTTCTGTTTATCATCAATTTATTGTCAGGATTTTTGCAGCTCAGATATGAGAGCCCTATTACTGTATAACTTCTAATGGGAACTCTTCTAATCACTAGCTGCTGACTGCTGTCACTGGATAAACAAAGTGCTCTATCCTAAAATCATAATTACTATTATTCCTACTATCGACTTTCCCAATTCTAAGTAATTTTGTAATTATAACTCAGTACATGTGCACCCCCTTTTCAAATCCTAGCAACTGTTGGCCATGGGGTGACCAACTGTTTGGGACTTGTTTTTACCTGGTGCAAGAGAGAGCCAAATTATGTCCAGAGTAGAGGGAAGGCTTTCACACTTTATGTACAGAAGCAAAGAGGTGCACTTGGGTCCAAAATCCAAATTGAGCACCCGAAGGGGTGTTGCCCAAAGGTTTTTATACATTTGACTAAGCAGGTAACACTCATCACAATTCTTATTGGCTAAAACAAATCCATGGGTGTATTTCATCATGCACACATGTACTACAACTGTGTACCCCATAAAAAGCCATGAGAGGGGCTCATTAGCACCTCATGTTAACTCCCAGGGCTGTGTTTTTTGCTATTATAATGAGGCAAAGGGTACTATAGTTCAACTTTTAACTAGTCATGTATCAAATCAAAGCAGACCAAGCAGGAGTGACACAGGAAATCCCTAATACACAAACACAAACAGCTCCCAATACACAAACAGCCTGTCGGGGCCCACACAACAGGCACAAAAGTGCTCTAGAAGTATCCAGGTGTGCAAAGATGTGGGCAACAAGGCTTTTCTATTCTCTTTTCATCTGCATGAGCTTTATAGAGAAGCTTAGATTCAAATTAAGTTTATTTCCAGGGGCGACTTTTGCCAAATTCATAGAAAATGCTATGGGCTCTTGGCTGCGAAAAGTATGAATCTGAGCAACAGATCCAGTGTAGCTGTGTTTCCCTTTGCATACTAGTAGCTGTGCATTCATAGCTGTGTCTTCCTAACATAGTTGTTAGAATGACTTCGTTAAATCACAACCCAGTGAGATGGTTGTTAACACAGTCAATTAATAAACTTTTGAGATATGAATAAATTGCTCTTAAATATGAAAATTCAAAGTAGGATGTTTCTTCATTTTTGGATTTGCTTGCAGGCTTCTTACAAACTGCCTATGTTTTAACAAGTAATTTCTTTGAGGCATTAAGTTGAGTGTAGTCTGGCCTTTGAATCCACACAAACTTTGATGTAACAATGTTATCTTTG